CTGATCCTCCCCCCCGCCTCAGCCTGCCTAGGATTAACGGCGTGAGCTACCAACCGGCCCAGTTTCATACATTTATCTAATAAAGGAAGAGGGGGGATGAAGCAAAACAAGAACCCTTACTAATCAGAAAAACAAAAATAAAACCCTCACCGACATAAACCCTCTGCCACCCCAGGCTACCACTCGCATTCTTTCGTATACCCAAGCCCCTCATTTTGTCCCCATCACAGGTATTGTACCCAAACTAAAGTACTTACAACTTAATTTCTTCTGTGGCATGTATTTGCAACAGGACCCACTGCTAAAGAACCTCAGATGATCTTCCCACCTCGCAACACGCCCCAACGACCCATCTCCTCTGCTCTTCTCAGTGGCTCCTCAGCTGCCGCTGCTACCCCACCCCCCACCCCCCGGCTCAGGCACCTGCCTCACCACAGTTCCTCAGATGCATAAGCCACTCTGCCTCCTAGAACAGGGCTTGGCAAACTTGGCCTAACAGCCCAACATCCATCGCCACCCCATCCAAGGCCTTTTCCTGCACAGCCATAGGACTAAGAGTAGCTTCTTTACACATAATTCTAAACACTGGTTCAATGAAAAAACAACAAAGAATAACATAACAAAGCAGAGACTATGTGGCTCTACGAAGGAAGCCTCTGCTACACCCCTCTCCAGACCCCGGACAGGCTCTCCACCCAGCCCAACCTTCCAAACTGCAGTCTCCAAGACCCTCCAATCGCAGTCCAACTACGTTTCCCCACAACACAAACTTTAACTACCCCCCTCGGCCACTGCAATTCTCTCTCCCCTCTTCCCGAACAACAACACAACTCTATAAGTCCTCAGTATTAAAAGCTACTCATACTTCGAGACCGGAATTATTTTATACTAAATCCCCTCTAAGGGGAATCCACAATTTTCAAGGCCTGAAAAGGACCTCAGAAACCATGATGCTGCGGGAAGGGGTCCTATCCTCCTACCTGTACCCGACAGGAAAGCTACGACCAAAGACTGGCCTTAAACTTGCAAAGTCTGTTAATACTTCGGAATAAAATACCCAGGGTGTCCCTGACTCCCCCCTCCCCGCCAGTGCTTCGCTACCACGCGCCATTACCCCCGCCTCCGCCCCACCTCACCCATGTCTCAGTTCTTACAGAACCTCAGTCAGATTTAGCAAATACACGAACATACAAAATTTGCCCCCGGGCTCGGGGCTCAAACGCCTGTGATCCCAGCACTCTGGGCAGGCCAAGATAGGAGATCCATTTGACCCACAGACTTTGAGACCAGACTGGGCAACCACAGTAAAGACCCCTGTCATCCTACTAAACCCACACAGATGAAGGCTGGCTGCGGCTGGCCTCATGCCTCGTAATCCTCAGCCCTCTGGGAAGCGCCAAGGCGGGCGGATCGCACAACGGTCAGGAGTTCGAGCAACCAGCCTAAGCTAAAGAGTCGAGACCCCCGTCTCCTCACCACTCCACAACAGACAGAAACCTTCAATTGGCAACTTAATATCTATATAGACAAAAAAATTAGCCGGCGCTATCGGTGGCTTGCAATGCCGTGTAGTCCCCCCCAGCTACTCGGAGGCCGAGGCAGAGGATCCGCTTGACCCAGAGCATTCTTGAGTTTGCATGTAGAGCTACGGCCTGACGCCACAGCACTCACTCTACCTGGGCAACAAAGCTTGAACTCTATCTCAAAAAAAAAAAAAGAAAAAGAAAAAAGAAATAGCCAGAATTGGTTGCATGTGCCCTGTAGTCCCAGCTACTCACGGAGGACTGAGGGAGGACTCCACTTGAGCCCAGAAGCTTGAGGTTACAGTAACCTGTGCCACTGCACTCCAGACTGGAGACAGAGCAAGACCCGTCTCTAAAAAGACATAAACAACTAACTGTTTTAGTAAATACCTACACAAAGTGAGGATAATACTTTAGATACTGAAGAAATTTTCCTGATTATCTGAAACCCCGGCCTTCAGTGATGTCTTTAGAGGTCCCACAGGCATCAGAGCAGGACCTAAAACTCAGATTGACTACCTCCCACCAGGGTCTTCAGAACTCAAGCTAACACAGCCAGGCATGGTGGCTCACGCCTGTATCCTAGCACTCTGGGAGGCCGAGGCCGGAGGATCGCTCAAGGTCAGGAGTTCGAAACCAGAACTCCAGCTAACTAATATGACAAAAGCCAATATTTCCTGATTCCTTACTACCTATTCATCCATGAAGTTAAGTACAAAGTGATGGCCTAAAATGCACCAGGACGGTTCCAAGTGCAGATGGCACAGTGGGAAATAAATCAGCAAGGTCCCTGCGTGACACCACAGTCACATGTGAGCGCATCACATGCAGGATGTCGCTTAGGTAGAAAGCCAGAGTTCTAAGTACTGCATGTGGACCACAGGCACTGACGCTAATCTGACTGGGTTGTTTGTTGGTTTTGAGACAGAGATCTTGCTACGTTTCCCAGGCTGCTCTCCAACTCCTGGCCTCACACGATCGCCCAACCTCAGCCTCGTGAGTCGCTGGGATTACAGGTGTACACCACCACGCCTGACTTCCAATTAGAATTTTACTTCCACATCTTCCACCATGGCCAGTTACTTGGTCTCTCTGAGCCTCAGTTTCCTGAAATGTACATTGGGACTTGAGTCTCTGAGAATCATGAAAACAACCCTTTCTTTCTTCCCCATTTTCCACCAGCAGGAACATCACACAGACCAAAGACAGCACAGTAAGTCCTTCTGGAGGGGAACAGCTGAAAAAATTTTTAAAAGGCCTATCTATATCTTCTTTCTGGTTCATCCAAAAAAAAAAAAATAAAAAAAATAAAAGGCCTATCTGTAGGCCGGGCGCGGTGGCTCACGCCTGTAATCCTAGCACTCTGGGAGGCCGAGGCAGGAGAGATAGCTTAGATGAGCATAGTGGCTGGAGCGCATTTTTCCCCTAACAAAAACCACTGCAATATTCTCCAAGTTTAGAGGGATAAACACATCTCCGCTCATCTGAGCGTGCAAAATTAATATTAAGCAGCGTGTGCATTTCCACAGGAGTCCAGGCGGTACAAATGGGTCTGGGGTCAAGTGGCGGGGGGAGCGCGAGGCTGGCTTTGCTCCCGTGCAGGAGGCACCCTCACCACCAGGGAGGCTCGGCTTGCAGGCTACGAGGCCCCGCCACGGAAAACCGACAATATCTTAAGAACCCAGTAGGGTCTGCAGCCCTGTTTGAAATGACATGCTTTTTATTTCTCACAAACAACCAAGATACCCTCCAGAGGTTCGAAGCAGAGCCGTAACTACCGCCCTTGCGCTTTACTTCATGAAGGAGGGTAAAACCAAATCTTAACATCAGGCCTCAGCCGGGGGAGCTGGCCCGTGGGGACTGGAGCCGCGCGCCTCCCACCACCCCGCTGTGACAGATGTGCGGACAGGACGAGCAGCTTCGAAGCGCAGCCAACCCGCACAGCCTGGCCAGGGTGACAGACACCACGGCCTGCAGCAGCCCCGCCAGTCCCCGCAGCGCCGAGCAAGTAATTAAAAAGGATTCGGCCACTGCCTTTTTGAGGGAACAGCCGGCGTGTGCCCTACGGCTCACGAGGCCTGTCTAATCGTGCAGCAATTTCATAAATGAGATCCTGCTAGCTGTTTCCTGCCACCTCCCTCGCTTCATCTCCAGGTCCACCTAATGCTCGCCCTCGCCTTTCCCCAGTGACTTAGAATCGGCTTTGTGCTTGTTTCCAGCTGTCGTCTGCGCTGTTTTGTGAAATAATCTTCAAACAAAATGGGAAAACCATGTTCAAAACATTAGGAGGAGCTTCCCCCCTCATCACACAAAAATCGAGTAACTAATGGGGGAGCGGGGGGTATGAAAAAGAAAGAAGAGAACCCGCTGAAGCAGCACAGGTGCGTGACAGGTGAGGAACTGCCGCTCAGAGTCAACAAGCACTGCCAAGTCCACACTGGCTCTGAGAGTGACAGTAGCCAAAGGACCTGAGGCCACAGGAACAAAGCTATCAGCCGCCTCTTCCTCTCCCGTGTCTCACCTGCTAGGTCCAGGGAATGAAAAAGCAAAACCACAACAGGAAAGAAAGGAGGATCAGGTACTGTAATTGGCGGCAGCAGCTGCACTGGGCGGCAGAGCCTCTGGTGCCACTCTTAAAAGAAACAAAAATATATGTCGAAATATCTAAATTCAAAGTTCTGATGTTCTCCTTTCCTAAGGCATTGCTGGGGGGCGGGGGTGTCCCCAGAGAAAGGCTAGAGACAGCTGGGAACAGCCTTGGAAACGAGGAGGCCCAGGACCAGGCGAGGAGGTGCAGGCTCTCACTCCAGGGCAGCGAGCTGCTCAATGGCGCAGCGCACTTCTTGGCAGTTTTCTTCAAATTCTTCTTTCTGTTGCTGGTTTCCTTTGCCTAGAATAAAGGATAAACACACGAACCTGACATAGAGCTTCCAAACGCACACTCTATAAATACAATCAAAAAGAAAGAAACAAAAGGGAACATTTATTAGCACCTAAATAACTGGGCGCTGTGAAAGGGTGGCACCCAGCACACTGGGCCAAATTTCCGATTCAACTTAGCCACCTGCAGTTCAAGCTGCCTCCTGATGTTTGCGTACTGACACACAGGGAACACTTGTGCGTCTCCAAAGCGCTGTGCCACCTACCTCACCATCTTCTAGCTGATTCGTTGTCACAGGCGTCCCACAAGGAAGCGCTCTGACACGACCGCGTTACACAGATGGGAGCCTGAGGCCCAGGTGGCAGCCAGCTCCAGGCTACTCTGCAGCCTGCTCTCAACACCCCTGCCTTGTTCTGAACTCTTAGAGGAAAAGTCCAGAGCCTTCCTCCTCTTGTCCAATTAAACAGAGCCTGTCAACACATCAGCGTTTTCCTCAAACAGAAACTCCTTTTGCTTCCAGTCCCTCCCTGAATCGGCTTGAACCATTTCATTCTGCCAACAGCGCTCTGAGGGGCAAATGACAAGCACATCAGCAACCAAATCCAGGGAACTCTCCCTATCACCTACTTTTTATTCTCAAACTTCTCGCCACATTAAAAAACAAACCAAAAACACCTTAGGTTAAAATTTGTTTTCTTTCTTTTTTTGAGATAGGAGTCTCACTCTGTTGCCCCAGCTAGAGTACAGGTGGTGTCATCATAGCTTCACGCACCTCAACTCTGGGCTTAAGCGATCCTCCTGCTCAGCCTCCGAGTAGCGCCGGGACACAGTGCATGTCACCACACTCAACTAATTTTTCTATTTTTTTGTAGAGACGGGTCTTGATATTGCCCAGGCTGGTCTGGAACTCCTGGGCTCAAGTGATCCTCCCGCCTCAGCCTGCTAGGATTATAGGCGTGAGCTACCAAGCCCGGCCCATTTCATACATTTTCTAATAAAGGGAGGGGGATGAAGCAAAAACAAGAACCTTACTATTGAAAAACAAAAATAAAACTCACCGACAAAACCTCTGCCACCCAGGGCTACCACTGGCTTCTTTCGGTACTTCATTTTGTCCCCATCACAGGTATTTACAAACTAAAGTCTTACAAATTAAGTTTCTCTGTGGCTGTATTTTGCAACAGGACCATGTAAGAACTCAGTGTCTTCCCACCTGCAACAGCCACGACCCATCTCCTCTGCTCTTCTCAGTGCTCCTCAGCTGGCTGCTACCCCACCCCCACACCCCCCGGCTCAGGCACCTGCCTCACCACAGTTCCTCAGGTGGCACATAAGCCACTCTGCCTCCTAGAACAGGGCTTGGCAACTTGCAAA